GAATGCAGAATACCAATGCCTTTTCTGATTATAAATACGATATTTCTATTCCCAAACAATGAAGGTGCATAGAGGATAGTTCAGCTCTACAGCTGCTCCCTCAGTAAGGTCTTTTAAGGGTTAATAAAGACACAGTGTGCTGGCATTTGCACACCTCTTAAAAGAGAAGTTCCCCATGTGGACGCATGGAGGCGTACCTGAGCACTGCTTCATTAACCTCCACCACTCGTCCTGGTCAATGTGCACGCACAGAGCCGTAATAGTCGTGTGTAATGTGTTTTGGAGTGCAGTGTATTGCTCTTTTCTGAAACTTTTTCCCTTTCTTTCTTTTTTTTATCAACTTTCTGCATTGGCAGAGCATCTTGGGATTGAATTTATGGGTATGGACCAATCATCATTCCTTTTAGCCTGCAGAATTTAGAGCCTATGAGCTGAAATCTTTTTCCCTTCCTACACTCTTACCTTTCAGTTCCTAACTAATTTCCTTTTTCTTTAGAAGGGATCATACAGCTATAACAATGATTTCTCTGCCTTCAATCTATGATTAGTTTACCGAAATGTTACTGAGTGCAGCAGCATTTAGATTCCCAAGCGTCACTTAGAGTTTAAAATCACCTCACCTGCTGCAAATTCATGTGTATCCCCCATTCCTTGCCCCTCTGATTGGATCTGGCCATGCTGTTATTTCAGAGCTGGGGTAAGTTGGAGTCATACATAAGGCTACAGAAGGAAAAAAAACCAAGGACCTGAGAACCAAAGAAGCTTTAAATGCATCACCTTAAAAAGCACACCATATCTTAGGCTGATGGGAATTTGACATTCAATGTAAAAATCATATATTTGACATAGTAACATATGAAGCCCTTACATTGCCTCACAACATTATATGAACAGACATGAAATGCTCTGTTTTCTGGAGATATTCAAGCACGACTCTAGACAGCTTCATTATCTTATGAGCAAGGAAATAGAAAACAAAGATACAAGCCTGATGCTATTTTAGGTGGAAGTTTTCGTGCTAATGGAATTAAACTTGAGTCACTAAGATTACCCAGACAAGTAATCAAATAGAATTTTTCACACTGTCAACATAAAATATCTCCTAGGAGTGTATGAATTTGGGGCATGCTCCTTTTGAAGGCCTTCTTCCTAAATAGTTGGTAGACAAGGCCAGTCTCAGGAGATAGGGAAACCAGGCTACCTTCACAGAAGCTCCACAGCACAGGGCCCCAGGTCTCCTGCAGACTACATACAGCCCGGGACCACAGGCATGGGCAGCGATGTCCTGTTTAACAGAATACCTGATCCCCATCTAGCTGGTATCAGTGACGTCATGCAGCAAGAGCACCCCTCTGCTGCTGTTTTCTTTTGACTGATAACATCACAGTCTACACCTAATGTTCTTTCCATATTTGGTGGAAAATGGGGCTGTTGCAGACTCTAGCAATTACAGGAATAGAAACTCAATTGATTGTTCATTCCTCCAAAACACTTCCCAAGAGGAAACTATTCATTTGATAGGAAAACCCCCTTGTTAATATGTGGGCCTTTGTACATTGGTGAACATCTCCCAAGAATGAGAAGCACAAGAGGGACCACCAACATCACTCCACTGGCAGGTCATCTACATGAATGGAGTTAATCTATTCAGGTTACCTCCCACGGGATAAAAAAAAAAAAAAATGTCCCTAACAACATCTTCCCCACTTTATCACTTTAGGGTCTGATCCTAGAATTTATTATTTCTATTCCCAAACAATGAAGTAGGTAAAGGATAGTTCATGTATACCACACTCCCTCAGTAAGATCTTAAGGGTCAGTAAAGACATGCTGTGCTGGTATCTGCACACACCTAAAGGCAATCCTCCCAGAGGGCTCCACAGTCCCAGGGGGAGAATGGTCCATCCTGCAAAAAAGTCAGACCTTAAAGATCAATTAAAATTGAGAAGTACAAGGCCTCTGTCTCTCGGCCTGGCCAAACCACACTGAAAAACAAAACAAAACTTGATCTGATTCTGTTCATCGTGCCCAGCCAAGCCATAAAGTCTCAGAAGCATTTCTACTCATTAAGGCAGATCCACCAACTGGACTGAGGGCTTCTTTTGTTTTTCAGCGCTGCCTCGAATTTACTCTTGCCCTATTGACCCTGACACACTAGGGAAAAAATAAATAAGGGGAAAAAAGGGCAAAAAATGTTTATATTATTTTTCATCAAGTTTTTTTTTTCTTTTAACACATTTATATCATTGGGGTTGGAGGTGGGGTGGTCACTTGATCTTGTAAACCATTGGAAAATCAAAAAGAAATTTAGATGAGAAACGTATAACACGTTCACTAAATGCTGATGTGAATACAGAATCCTTACCCCACATCTGTATTCTAGGGGCCTTGGCCTTAATCACTTGTTTTTTTTAGCACTTTTGCTTTACCCTTTGGCCTTTATTGGGCTGCTTTTTTATTTCCGTGACTGACCTCACTGGAAAAATGTCTTGCTACATAACATAGGAAGAATGGGCGAGTCACCATATACCATTTGTTCATAAGCCCAGGCCAATCTATTCTTTTATAATTAACAACAATCAAAAACCTTGTCAAAAGAACCCCTGAGAGTACACAGGATGCGTTATTCCCTTTCAGTCTTGGATAGGTCCAGTTGTTGTAGCTCACAGAAGCAATTTCCCCGTTTTTTCTAAAGCTAGAATGGTCAAATGTCAATGCTACCAAAAAGAAAAAATGGAGTAAGAGAAAGAGGACACAGAGAGCAGGGTCTTCATTTTCTTGGCAATAATACTTTCACACTCCTATTCCCTAACTAACTTGCCAGGGCCAAAGGAGTGGTGGTCTGTATTATGGGTCCCGCGGGGAAAGGACCAGTAGGGTGCCTCTGCTTCTTAGACATCAGTGCTAAAAACTGATGGGAACGTCAGGTTAAGGAGGAGGCTCAGGGCGTCAGCTCGCAGATTAACACCCTATAAAGTGTAATTCCCCTTCCTGTGGCTATGGGGGAGGGGAGGCAGCAGACACAAGCAATTAACACACAAGCATTCACATTCCACGCCCTCACTTGACTTTTGCAGCACGAAAATATGTGACACCACTCTCATGTCTCCGGGTTCATTGTTTCACCGCAGTGCACCAGCTGCTTTGCTTTCTAATTGTGGCTTCCACGTGACAGCCAGCCTAGGCTAAGAGTTATGCTGTATGGGGTAACCCTTCCAACTTTGCATCCACCTTTTCTTCCCCCCCCCCCCCCCCCCCCCCCCCCCCCCGCGCATTTCCTCCCTCTGAGTTTCTTTTATTTATTTCTTTTTTCCTCCCTTAGTATCAGGCATGCTGTGCCAGGGACTTCAGATGGCTCCTTCACTTTTAACCTTGTTTTCCCTGGTACCTGACTTCCGCCCTCTCTCCGTCATTCTGTCAGTCTGTCTGTCCTCTTGGTTTGTTTTTCCTTTCCACTCCCAACCCTTTCAGTTTGTTTTTGTCTAATCTCTTCGGCATCCTAGTCTTTTACCCACTGACTCCTGTTCTCCTTCTCCTGTTAATAATCAGTGCTATATTAATTTGATTTGACAGTGTTTCTGACCTGTTAACTGGAGTTTGATTACCATGGGCTTGGCTTGTAGGAAATGTTTTGTTTAATGATAAGGTCTGCTGTATCATAGAAATTAAAATGCACTTTTTCATTTCAAGAAAACTTCCTGAAAATTGCCTTCTCTCAATAGAGAAAAAAAGGTGTGGTTGCTGAGACTGAAAATGTAAACTAAAAATGTTCCACAAGGCCCCATGTTGATGTCCAGATAAGAGACCCCCATTTGTATAAGAGTCCATAGGTCTTGACCAGCTTGTTAATCAGACTATCAAGTACAGCTTACATTGCTTATTATGTACTGGTTGAGTTCTCTTTTGCAGTGAACTTGAGACTATTTTCTAATAAGTGTAATTAGACTGATTGGAAGCTCACCTCCTAAGGGATCAGGTTCACCATTAAATCAGCCAATTTTCTTAAGAACCAGACCCACCATAGTATAGTCAAATTATCCCCACAAAAAAAAAATGATTTGCAAATAGAAAGACTTCCATGAATAAGATACTGGCTGCATTTGGGGTGCAGAAGTACCTTTAGTTAGAAGTTCTAAATATCACACTTCCTTAGTGTAACCCACATCGACTAATTTCCCATGTTGGTCAATGCAGGAATATGTAATCTATTCTAAGTCGTGCATTATTTGTGCTAAGCGTTCCCTTATACAGATAAATGAGGTCTCTAAATATAATTAGTGAATCATAATTGTCCTCCAATGGACAAATCTTCACCTTGGTCCAGGACCGTCCTACTCATCATATTGGGTTTTCTCTGATACAGTGCCTTGCTACTCCATATTGTGTGCTAATTTCACATTTTACTGTGAAATCATAGGAATTCTGCCCCAATTTTATTGCTAACCACAAGCCGAGCTCATGTTTGCAAATGTCTTTGAGTTTATATTTTTAAGTTAGAAATGGCTCTTTGTAAAGACCACCGGAATATCAAATAGCTGGGGTATCAAAAGAGGCTGGGGGTGGGGGAAGAAAGGAGGAAAGCGGGGTCCCAGTGGCGCCAATCCCAGCTACTTTTATCGGCACTGATTCCTGTTGTCTTTGCAAGAGATGTTTGCAAGAGAAATTTTTAAAACTAAAAGTTACAGTTATAACCAAATAGTAATTTTATAATCAATGTTTATTATTTGCCAGTTTAATGCATATATATATAGTTTATCATTAAATTAATTTTATAGCATATTATTTTTTAATTGTAAATGACCCCAGCTGGCTTTGCTGTTTATATTTAAATTGTAGTGCAGAGTATGCTGTCCCTTAAGTATGTCTGCAAAAGTGATGAATTGTCACGTATTTATTTTCTTGTGAACATGGACAATGTCAGGCAGCATGCCAACTGTTCAGTTGTAAGTCCCGGCGAGCCTCAGGGACCTTTGGTGACCTCTGCTCTCATCCCTTTGCAGAAGCAGAAGAGCTGTACCAGAAGCGAGTGCTGACCATCACCGGCATCTGCATCGCCCTGCTGGTGGTCGGCATCATGTGTGTGGTGGCCTACTGCAAAACCAAGTAAAGCCTCCTCCTCCTGGCCTCCCCCTCCTTAGCACACACACTGCGTAGCCGGCAAGGACTTGCCAGAAACCCACTTCCACATCTCAGTCTTGACAATAAGGAGGGGGCAGGGTGACATTCCCTCTTCTTGTTTCTCCCCAATAATCCATTTTGAAGCCCTTTGTTAATCACATTTAGAAAGCCTTGCCTATTTGTGTGAAAATGCTCAGGACACTTCTGATCGATGACCACACACAGCCCCGTGACTGGAGAAAGGGTGGGGGACGAGTGTGAGAGAATGTAGGTGCATGCACCAAACACCCTGAGAGGAGAGTGGTAGGTGCCAAAGGTGCGCTTGTCATGTCAATGCTGAGGACACGTCCAATGTGCAATGAAACTTAGAAGATAAAGGAAACACTTGGTGGTGTTTGAAGTGCAGTTTTCTGAACATTATACTAATTATTTTCAATTCCATCTAATTAAGTTTTCAGTTCAAATGCTCTCAAAGTGTGCGATGTACAAAAGAAATCTCATGGGGGGGAAAATCAAGCAAAACTTGCTTTGAGGGAACAAAAAGGAAAACATGAAAACGGATTTGTGTTCACTGTGTTTGGTCCTTTAAACTAAGTCCATATTAACCAATTCAATTATTTGTAGAGGAACATGAATTCCCTCCACTTTCTACCTGACATAACCTCCACTTCAAGTCTGAGATATATTCACAGTTTTGTTTCGTTGCTTCCTCACATAAACCTTCTTGCCAAAACCAGCCATCGGAATATTTTATTATGACCTGAATGTTGCAGTGAGGAACAAAGACAATATGCTTTTATACCATAAAATCAAGGGTATGCATGATGTTTGCTTAATACCCCAGAAGTGTTGCCAGAATTGAGTAAGTGATAGAAGATGTCTTCATAGAGTCCACCTTATGAGTTTTATTAGATCCAATCTCAATATTTCAGTATTTATTACCTAGTTATTACTAATAAAGTGTTACTAGGGTAGGATCATGTTATAATTGTGCCAAAATCTACTGGAAAAATATGTACATATCGTCGCACATGTTCAATGCTATACAGGCACACACAGTATGTATAATGTACAGATTCAAAACTAACCATGTTTTAAGAGACACACAGGCAAAATTATAAATGCAACCAGCTTTATCAGTTGCACAAATTGTTACCTAAGACAAATGACCTTGTGTAAGATTTAGGCAAAGATGGATTAATTAGGAAAGTTGGGGTTTTAGCCAAATATCAACTTGACTTGTCTTCTCTGCTTTTTTTTTTTCTTATCTCTCAGGGATCTGGTTAAATTAGTATAAGAATGCCATCCAGCTTCTCAAATCTATTTGCTAATAATGTGTGGTTCCACGTCTGCCCATAGGCAGATTCTGAGATGAAATAGCACACTCTCCCTTTCCCCTCCCTCACCACCCATCCACTGCCTGAGTTACATGTTGGTAGATTAAAGAATTGACTGTACTAAGAAATGTAAACAATAGAAAAAAGTAAATAAATGCTCCTTTTTTCATGTACAGGAAACAGCGGAAAAAGCTTCATGACCGTCTTCGGCAGAGCCTTCGGTCCGAACGAAACAACATGGTGAACATAGCGAATGGGCCTCACCACCCTAACCCACCCCCCGAGAACGTCCAGCTGGTGAATGTATGTTGACTCTGGAAAAGCTGAGCACCTCTCCTCTGTTCGGGCACCTTGAAGTTTGTTTTCTAAAGCTTTTAGGCTCTTAGCTGCTGCCATTAATCTCCACAGCTTCCAGGAATCCAAGGTTTCGCCAGGAGAAAATAATGGGAACATTTTTTAAAGTGGATTTGGTTACTGTAAAACCAGCACATTTCCTCCTCTAAAGTGTTCATTAAGGGGTTGGAATAATAACACTGGGCTTGTTCTGCAGGGAGGCCATAACTGGAAGAAAGAAAAGAAAAACATAAAGAAAAAAAATAAAATGAATGATACAAGCATCAGAAGGAAACGTTTTATTTTTATAATTTGGAAACGAAGGCTACTCCAGCCTGTAACTGATGAGTACTGATAACTGAGCTAAGGGCTTTAGAGTGGTTTTTAGTAGAGGAATTTCACAGCGCCTGATGATTGGCTGATTTTGATTTACAAAAGAAAAAATCTGGGCACTGAAAGGTCAGGGACTTATCAAACTTGCTTCTCAGCAAAATTGGAAGAACATAATGCTTTTTTATTCCCTGACTCTTTTCTACATGATGTCAAACCCTCCAGATGAAATATATCCTTAATCAGTCATATATTGTGTTTAAAACTTACCGAACACTCAGCTTTTAAATATAACTAAGTCATAAGATATTAGATTCTGGAGAGCCTTTAGATAATCATCTTCCAAACCTCCCCTTTCACAGATAAGGGCCAGAGTCGGACTCAGTTTTCCTGGCTTTTTAAGTATTACTCTCCCTAGTTCACTGTAATTCATCTTGTTTTCTTCATTGCTCTCTGATGTTTGGCTTTATATAAGCAATGCTTGAAGCTTATATGGCACTACTGTTTTCTATCCAATAGAAAGGTCTATTTTGTGTGGAGTAAATACATCGTAGACCCAAGTTCCGAGGTGGTAGTTACTAAGCCACCAGCACATCTTGCAGCAAAGACCTTCTCCTGTTAGAGTAAGGTGCTGATACATTAACATACTTGGCTGCCTTCCTCCCCCAACCAGTGTTCATTAGCATTCACTAGAGACGCACCTATGATCTGTCACTGCGAATGTTATAATATATAGGAGGCAGCATGACCGCCTGGATTCCAATGATGGCTTTACCATGTGACCTTGGGCTTTAACCTTACTAAACCTTATTTGTTTATTCTGAAAACAGGCCTAAAAATAACATCTACTTCCAAAAGTTCGTGTGAGCATAAAATAAGAGAATTATATAAAACACTTAGCCCAGTGGCATTTAGTGAGTCTTCAATCATGGTTAAATATTGCTTTCATTAGATTCACTAGGCTTACATTGCCTTCCAAGGAGCAAGATTGAAATGGTACAGAAACTAAAAATAGCTCATTATGTATGACATCGCCACCTTCTCCTTAAAGCAAGCTAGCTGTACGTTCCAGAAAGATCCACATGGAATAACCCTTCCAGTAAGAGAAATAGCTAGAATTTCAAGCATAATTCAAGTTTGTGTATTTTGGGGGTTTTCATGAATATATCAGATTCTTCTAGAGACCACACAGCCCATGAGATTATTAAGTGCCCTATTTCATTTCCATGCCTTTCCCTCTTATTTAACTCAATTTGGTGTAAATACTAACAGCATTTAAAACACAACTTCAGAATGTGCCTCTCTCTCTGATAGAAGGCAGAATAGCCACTGTGATTTGGTGATGAAAACAAAGTAGAATCTACTTGCAGTGTATACAGCATATTACACGCTTTATCAAGATATGTGACCCTGGCAGCTGCTGTAAATTCTTCAAATCTCTGTTAGTCTTGTTAGCCTTATCACTGATAATAAGTTGAAATTTTCAGCGATATCTTTGGGCAACATGGGCACTAGGGAATTGAAAGAGAAAGGTAGATCTACAATATAGAGATTTAAAAAACAATGCTACTAATTTGACATTTGAAATAAGACAAACCATTTTATGCTTTGTTTCACTCAACTATCTGTTAGTCTTCTTTCACTTGCAACAAACATGCCCAAATTGGGTACTGGACAGAGATTTGTTTTGAATTCTAGTCATATTATCAACTGGAAACAAAATAGAAAAATATAAGTCTGTTTCTGATAATATGTAGCTGTGATTGTAGGACCTACATTGTATTGTGCACATCCAAAGAGTGATTCATTAACTCCATTCATCAAATCTAAAGGCCACAGTAACCAGGATAGGATTTGCCATCTGGCCATTGGAAAAATGGAATTTATTAGGAAGCATGTGGACTAGAATCGATTTTTCTGTGTGTGACAATGTTAGTGTTTTGATTTACATGAATCTTCAAATTGTGTCTCCTTGTTTATCCAGCAATACGTATCTAAAAATGTCATCTCTAGTGAGCATATTGTTGAGAGAGAAGTGGAGACATCTTTTTCCACCAGTCATTATACTTCGACAACTCATCATTCCACAACTGTCACCCAGACTCCCAGTCACAGGTATGAGAATAAAACAATTGCATGGCATTTCTCCAAGAATGAATTTTTGCACATTTCCTTTTGTTACCACTGCCTAAGAAAGGGACAGGAGACACTTATAGAGCAGCAAAGGATGGTTAACTGTATGGTTTGGGACAAACAACCTTTGGACATCAACTGGCACTGTCACTTAGTTGCTGTTTAAATTTGAGCATTCATTTTTTCATCACCAAAAAGGGGAAAATAACACTTACCTCAAGGGTTGTTGTTTCCTATTTTAAAGATTGTCTTGACTCATGCCTGACCACTCACTGAATTGTTACAGTAGGAAGAATTTGAGGCTAGGGCCGGCTGAGTGGCTCATTGGTTAGGAGTTGGCTTGGAATTGTGAGCTCTGAGCAGCAGGGCCCCAGTTCAGATCCCACATGAGGGCCAGTGACGCTGAGCCCTCTACAGCTAAGATGGTGAACAACAGCTTGACCTGGAACTGAGCTGCCATGAGTGGCCGGCAACCCCGTAGGCTGCAGTCCCTGCTGCAGTGGGCTGCTGTGAGCTACCGTGAGTGGCTGGCAGCCGGCATGAGCTGCCGTGAGCTGCTGTGAGTGGCCGTCCAATGGCTGGCAACCGACTGCCTCCGCCGGGAAGAGCGCAATGATCATAATACCACCATGGGTCAGTGAAGCAATGTCCTCCACAATTAGACTGAAGAACAAAAGGACAGCAACTTGTCTGTTCCCCTTCCCTGATTCCCCAATACTGTTCCCTCCCTCAATTCCCCAATAAAAATCTTTAAAAAGTAAATAAATAATTAGAGGCTATATAATCCTGAAAAGTTGACTTCTTCCAATGATTGAATTGCCCTGAAAAAAGTATATGAGAAATTAATTAAATAGCTGAACCCTAAATTCTTAAGTCCCCTGGTGATCAACATCTGAGTGCCTGTTACCAAGGGCAACACTAGACTTCCAAATGTAGCTCACAGGACAAATGTTATACCTTAACCTTAGCCACTCAAGAACAGAATGATTATAAGAATACATAGTACATAGTGACATTTGATAAAATACGTGTTGAATGAGTGTACAAATAAGTAAATGGTATCCTTTCAAAACCAATCTAAATCAAGATCCTTTCTATAGCAAATATCATTATAGCAAGTCTATTGTGATACAAGTAATGTCATGGTGAGCTACTGATGCACCAATAATTTGAAATATTAGTCAGATCACCTTATTTCATTTCCATTTTTGCATATAATTAAAAAAATATGTATGTCTTTGCCTTTCACATTTCCCCTCTAGCTGGAGCAATGGACACACTGAAAGCATTATTTCGGAAAGCCACTCTGTAATCATGATGTCATCAGTAGAGAATAGTAGGCACAGCAGCCCAACTGGGGGCCCAAGAGGACGTCTTAATGGCATGGGAGGCCCTCGAGAATGTAACAGCTTCCTCAGGCATGCCAGAGAAACCCCTGACTCCTACCGAGACTCTCCTCATAGTGAAAGGTAAAACCGAAGGGCAAAGCTACTGCAGAGGAGAAAGAACCCCAGTAAGAGAATCCCCATGAGCACCTGCGGTCTCACCTAAGGAAATCTACTCTAATGAGAATAAGGGGCAGCAGCTGCCTGTTCTAGGAATGCTCCTAGTTGATGAAGTCATCTTTTTGTTTGACTGAACTCATTTCTTCTGAGCTTCTCACGTCGTCCCAGTGGCTGACAGGCAACAGACTCTTAAAGAGCTCGAGTGATTTGATGTGGAAGGTGCAGCAAACTTGGAATTCCTAGCTCTGACCTTAGGCTCAGACCCACTCAGGATCTGTTTCCTCAGTTGTAACTTTAGAGAGATGGCACCAATGATTGATAAGGACCCTTCTCTAATTCCAATTTGCCAGATAGCCAAGCTCTGGTTAAGCTGACCTCATGTTCTCGTGTGCTAACTGTCTCTTACCTTCCAGCCTCAGTTAAATCAAATCAAGGGCTATGTCACTGCTGACTGTCATTGGGGACAACTGCTTGCGTTCCACCATAGAGTATCCCTTTTATGAAATTCCAAGAAGGGATGAATAAATAAATATTTTGTATGCTGCGTCTGGCAGTCTTCACAGGTGGTTTTTCAAAACAAATACTGCCTTTGATATGGCCCTTTATTTCAAAACGTTTTGGCTTTTTTTCTGGGGATATTGGATTGGGGTTGGGGGAGTTACAGCAAAGGTAAAATTTATAAATAACAGAGAGAAGTAAACTGAAAGAGACGCTTAATAGGAATACTGAATTCATAGATTCTCTTTATCCATTTTACCTAAACTGGGAGAGAGTTATACCCAACCAGCATTTCTAGCCCATCAGTAAGCTGTTATTTGTTTTCAAATCCAGTGGGGTTTGCTTTTTTACTTTATTGTCATTTCAGTCTAATCTTTGATCACTTGTTAAAAGTTTTACATAATGTAGAATCCATACTTATTTGGTATTTATGAGTGGGGACAATTTGATAGACTTTTTTCACTTATGGACTGGGAAGTACTTACACAAAAGATGACCAGTTCTGGGCTTTCAGATCATATACAGTCTGCTAATCACTTCTTCAAGGGCCTTTATATGAAATACTCCAAAATGGTATTTCAGAGCTTTATCAAATTAAAGGTAGCTCTGTTCATCTATGAAAAGGAAGGTACTACCCAAAACCAGTTTAAAACATTACTCTTAAATTCATATAATTATATCTTTATGTATTAAGAAAGTCTGTCTTAATTCAATCTTTTTGAAACCTAGAAAAAGAGGTTAGGAATGAATTCTTTCTTCATTGCTACATGTGATATGTATTTTTAAAGGTTGACATTTCCTTACTGTGGTAAGCTTCCTTGTGTACCCCAGATATTCTCTAGGACTGCAAAATATACCACAACCTAGAGATCGTAGCAAGAAAAGGTGAATCACCTTTATCTATTGGTTGAATTTGGATTAATGTTTCTTGGAGAACTTAATTTAAGCATCCCCTAAGCAAATAGTCTGAAAACTTGAGTCCCAAATATTTTAAATCTAGACACATTCCCACTTTAGACACAGCCAGATCTCACATCCATAGGACTCTGAATCATGGCTGAAAAGCAGGAAAGTGAATAGGTTCCTGTTAGCTAATGTTCACATGATGGTATCCTGTGTCATCACAGGTCATGTCAAATTAGATTCTGCAAATGCCAATGTGAAGAAATGAATCATTTAGTGTTATGCATTGGTACCATTTTTTATCAAAAGCTGAGAAGTGTGACTCTGAATAAACCACCTCTTCTTCTTCAGTGCCAAGTCAGGTCTTCTTCCTCTGGGGGAAGAAAGCATGATATGGGAAAAACAATGCACTCAATGTCTTGACAATGAGATTCACTGAGCATTATCAGACATAACATGACATAAGGTAACATGGTACAGCTAACCCTTGAGCAGTCACTAAGATAAGTCAAAAAATTGATGCAACCATTAAATTTTGGAAGAAAGGTAGATCAGAGATTGAACATACTACCAAGCCAACATAAGGTTCTATCGGGCTTACCTTTCAGTGTCTTGGTCACTGGGATGGATAGTTGCAAACCGAATGTTAAGAAGTAGCATTTTGTGGAAAAATTTAAAGCACGCAGATGTGTTACACTGTTATCAGGAATAAATCTAAGTTACTATGCTCTTTTCTTTTCATAAGACATAACCTTATAGCTGAGCTAAGGAGAAACAAGGCCCACAGATCCAAATGCATGCAGATCCAGCTCTCAGCAACTCATCTTAGATCTTCTTCCATTCCCCATTTGGGCTTCATTCTCTAAGACCCTTTGGCCTTTAGGAAGGTATAGTATTTAAGTAATACTTCTTTCCCTTCCAAATCCCTGAGCCTTGGTCCTTATAAACTGACAGGATTCCAGGAGCTAGTGCCCTCTTGTCTTGACTCATGCTTTTATTTAAAACCATGATGAGATTGAAAGTCCTAAAAGCTTCGATGAGCTAGGTGATATAGCTGGTCTGTGCATGTACTCCTGTGAGGAAACTCTTGGCTACCTAATTTTAGATTCCAAGGGTGCTGAATGTCCTAGCGTAAAAAGCAAGCCATCTACAAGAAATAGATGTTCTTTGTTCTCTGATTATATGATATCATGAACTCTGTCCCCTTCCCCTCCCTGCTCTTTGCCTCTTATTCCAGCACACTTATGCGGGGTATTCTGTGCTCACACAGGTATGTGTCAGCAATGACCACCCCGGCTCGTATGTCACCTGTAGATTTCCACACGCCAAGCTCCCCCAAATCGCCCCCTTCGGAAATGTCTCCGCCTGTCTCCAGCACGACGGTGTCCATGCCCTCCATGGCAGTCAGCCCTTTTGTGGAAGAAGAGAGACCTCTGCTTCTGGTGACCCCACCAAGGCTGCGGGAGAAGTATGACCACCACCCTCAGCAATTCACCTCCTCCTTCCACCACAACCCTGCGCATGAGAGCAACAGCCTGCCCCCTAGCCCCTTGCGGATAGTGGAGGATGAGGAGTATGAAACGACCCAGGAGTATGAGCCAGCTCAAGAACCTGTTAAGAAACTCAACAACAGCCGGCGGGCCAAACGAACCAAGCCCAATGGCCACAGTGCCAACAGGTTGGAAATGGACAGCAACACAAGCGCTGAGAGCAGTAACTCAGAGAGTGAAACAGAGGATGAAAGAGTAGGTGAAGATACACCTTTCCTGGGCATACAGAACCCCCTGGCAGCCAGTCTAGAGGCGGCACCTGCCTTCCGCCTGGCGGACAGCAGGACTAACCCAGCAGGCCGCTTCTCAACACAGGAAGATTTGCAGGCCAGGCTGTCTAGTGTAATCGCTAACCAAGACCCTATCGCTGTATAAAACCTAAATACACACATAGATTCACCTGTAAAACTTTATTTTATATAATAAAGTATTCCACCTTAAATTAAACAATTTATTTTATTTTAGCAGTTCTGCAAATAGAAAACAGGAAAAAAAACTTTTATAAATTAAATATATGTATGTAAAAATGTGTTATGTGCCATATGTAGCAATTTTTTACAGTATTTCAAAACGAGAAAGATATCAATGGTGCCTTTATGTTATGTTATGTCGAGAGCAAGTTTTGTACCGTTGCCGTGATTGCTATTCCACAGTATTTCAGCCAAACCTCCCATACATTCAGTTGTTGCTGGCTTCTTGTGCATCGCATTAGGATGTTGACTGGATGTATGGTTTGCAAGACTTGCAACTGTTCCTCTGTTTGCTTCCAGTAGTACCTACTCAGTACATCTTGTAATGGCACATCCATCCAAATACTGTTCTCTTTTGTACGAAGTTTTCTTTTGCTTTCAGTATATGAAATGAGTTGTGTCTACTCTGCCAGCCAAAGGTTTGCTTCACTGGGCTCTGAGATAATAGTAGATCCAACAGCATGCTACTGTTAATTACAGCAGGAAACTGCGCTAAGTAATGTTAACTATTAGGAAGAAAGTAATATTGTGATTTTTTTAAAAAAACAAACTATATTATTAATCAGAAGACAGCTTGCTCTCACTACAAGGAGCGACCATTTACTTTATTTCTATTTATTTTTCTTGACAAAAAGCAACAGTTTTGGGGGGTAGCATAGAAAATGGGTTCTGGCTTGCTACCAGGGTAAATCCAACACCTTCTAAGAGGACTCAATTTCACTTTCTCTCTGGGGGACTGACACAGCAGCTCAATCTAGTTGAAGAGCAAACCATGGCTGGAAAAGGTGCAATCATTCTTGACTTGTGTTTTTCACTGATTTGAAAGCTAGTGATTGGTTGTGTCTTCTCAGCTCAAAACAGACATGCTATGGCACAAAAACCCCAGCTTACACAGCACACTCAGCAATTCATCTGAAATACTTCTAGAGGGAAATGTGCCTGCTGTACATAGTGGTGAATTATCATCGTCGGGGACTAGAGTGTCTAGAAGGAGTGAATGTATAGAAGACACAGTTGAAGAGCAGCTATGTGGCTTGGTTGCAGTTTTAAACAGTTTTGTTGACAACTCCTTTCTCCTCATCATTTGTCTCTTGTTTTTCAATGTTGCTTTGATTTGGTCATAACTGTGCATGAACATTTTTGTCAGGAATGGCCAATGTGCATGTGATTTGTGATTAGTAAGAACCTTCCACGAGTGATGATTCATCAGGAAATGTCAATAGTACTGGAAAGATTGCACCTTTCCTTGCAGAAATGACCCCCTCCTATGTACTGACCTCTCAATTTGCAGCCTGTATCACCCATGTTCTCCCCTTTTCATTTTACTATCTTAAAAGAGGACTGAGATGGGTCTAAACTTTGCATGTTCTCTTGTGATTGTAAATCCAAGGAAGGCCTATAGGTATTAACATTTGAAATAACTGCTAATTCAGGAAAATAAGAGAATTTTTTTTTAATTGCAGGCCTCATTTCATGCCCTCCCTGATATCTGTGAAATCAGGCCAGAGCTTTAGTTGGGTTTCAGGTGGCCTCTAGGAGCCATGGGACAAAATGGGAAACAGATTAACAAAGCATTCACAATACCAGGCATGAAGTCAATGAAAAGAAATGTTTCTTGTTTGCCGGTGAACTGAACCTATTTCTTCACCAAATCTCTATGTTAAAGTTAAAGGGAAGAAATACCATGCCAGTAGGTCTAAGAAGAAAAATGGCAGGTAAGCACGAAGCCTGCACTTAAACTCCTACATGTTTCTGCAGTCTACAGAGATAGGCCTGTCTGCAGGTCCTGTGGTAACTTCTAGTATTTTGCATCCCAAGCTGACCTTCACAGTTCACAGACCACCTTCTCTGTGCTCCGCGGTGTCCTCTTTTGCCTGGTAACCTGCACTGAGGGGCTGCGTCAGGCTGCACAGGTTGTACCTATTTTCCAGCTCTGTAGAAACGAGGGAGCTCATGGCAGGCAGAAGAAGACAGGCAATCCTAAGAGGGTCTCTAAATTATTCCAATATTGCCTTTGAAGGGCCTGGGTCATTCTTAGACTATATCAGTAAAGAAATTCCTATCATTAATGAAAACTCTAAAATTTCTGTTTCAAATCCTTCAGGCTCTGGAGTATTCAAATGTCTCATTCTGGAGGATTTCAGAAATAAATAAAACCTCTTGAGAGCAATGAACATTTTCCTCAGTTTGAAAATTACTGTCAATTTTCAGGTTGCAAAAATATATGAAAACTTAGGATAAGAGGGAATTTCATTTTCAACTTGATCACAGAGGTGACATCCAACTACAGTGTTTCCATCTGCAGAACAAGAGCTTCCCTTGATAAAGAAAGATGGCTGACTCCTCAGGGCTACCTGCTGTGGCCACCAGATTTGTGTTCACAGGGACATCTCTGTGACGTTTAATTGCCACATCGCTCTCAAGTCTCCCTGTTTATAATCTCAGGCAGTGCTGTGGCAATCTGAAGGAACAGAACCTATGTTCCCATCATATGGAAAGCTTTCGTGGGTTTTCGGGTAGTGGAACTTGCCCACAGGTTCAACAGCAACTTTGCTTCCTGGGCCTGAAATCCCATCCCGTTGAGGGGTATTCAGTGGAACATAGTATATGCAAAACTCCTTTTTCTCACTCAAGGTTCCTTTTCTGTCCTACTCTCTCTTCTTGCCTGGTGTGACGTTTTTTTCAAGGGTACCTGGATAGCTTCATGCTTTCTACTAAACAGCAGTCTACCTGAGGGTATGTGAAAGTGTTCCAAACTCCAACATGCTGCATCTTCCTTGGGACTGTCTTGGTATAGGTGGGGATTATCCAGGGTAACTTGCTCAGTAACTAACTATTCCTTTTTTTTAATTGGCCTGAGGTTGAAAGGTGCATGGCTCACACTGGAGAAATAAGGAAGGCCTGGTTTTATCAAGCAGTACTGGCTGCATTCCACCAGTCACAGAGATTTCTATCCACAAAGACCCATGAAACACTGCAGAGAAACACAGACAAAAGGAAATGGCCACATATCACAAGTTCTATTATAGTATATTCTTTTGTAAATACACATTGTACATGACTTGAATGTTTTTCTAAATCATTTACTGTCTTTATGAGTTAATGTCAAATTTTTTTACTCTCTCAACTTACTGTGTAACAATTGTAAATAACATAATGTCCTTTATTATTTATATTTAAGCATCTAACATAGAGTTGTTTTCCTATAAGTTTAAGATAAATGTCAAAAATATATGTTATTTTTTTTGTTTTTCTTTGCTTTAAAATTATGTATCTTTTTCTTTTTCTTTTTTTTTAAAGAATAATTTATTGTTCAGGAGAAAGAATGTATATGTAATTGAAACTATTTGAAGAATGCACATTTGAAGGCCGTGAGGTACTGATAAACTAAAGAATTTATTATCCAAAATACTAAGCAATAAGTAATTGTGATTTATTTAAAATTTTGTTCATTTTCCATGAAAGACATACTGCAATAAAAAGTGCTACTCTGTGGAGACCTGGAGTGTTGCTCAGCAGACTAATGTCTCAGTCTGTTAGACCAGCACCTTTCATGTTCCTGTGACAGTTGTGCTAATTTAGGAATGTGTTCGAAGGACACCATTCTCATGTTGTCTGTCTGCCGCTTTTGCCACACTGCCTGTTCCTGACTCATTTTCTGCCTATTGATTCTGCTTACCACTGTCTTCTGTGTGGAAGGGGCCACAACCAAGCACTATGATGTCGTTCCCCTCACCCACCCATGCACACACAATATTATATCAGAGAGGACATTTTAGGGCATGATTGCCTGGATCCTGGTGGTTAACATGTTCTGCAGTGACACCAAGAAACTTCTTTAGACTGAGGGAAATGCCAATGTGGTCACCCCATGCAGTCATGAAAGGAAAGCCTGTTATCATCATCCAAATAGGATGGCCTCCGAGCCTAAAAGGCAGCCAGTCAGAACCTGGCCATACTGAGCTTTCCTATAGCTTCAGGAAACTTATTTTCCATCAGGTTCATAACTGATCGATTCACAGTTTTAAGAGAAGATAAGGTTAAGTTGGGTGCATTCCCCTCATTCTAGCAATAAATTAAACTACATGTCCGTCTTCTTGCTCAGGGACGGTCCTATGCATGAGAAATGTCCCACATTCTAAGACTTAGTCATAGAAATGAGGCTATTACCTTTCTTACTAAAATTAGCCTACACAAAAGCCATATTTTAACAAGTAGATATTTGCATGGGTGGTACTTTTTATATATTTCAAGTATTTTACTCATCATTTCAAATAAGGAAGCATATGAAGTAGAGGTCAATGACCCTCTGGGGTTCATAGAGACCTCCTTTGGAGTTTGAGGGTACCCCTGGTGCTTCCCATCAACATCCACTTCCAGATATATACATGATTCTTATTAACTAGTAATAGCTCCACTAATGTCATCTCCAAAAGATTCTGGATGTCTAGGAGATTCAAAGAGTGAGCTTTGTGCTAGTTTTTACTATTTATATTACTGAATTTTCATATTTGTGTCAACTGAGGCTTACCTACACACACACACACACACACACACACACACACACACACACACAGATTCTGAACATACACTAACCTGAAGCCACCACATTCTTTTACTTGTTCAATCCAACCAACCAGGCATTCAGCAAATCAAGGATTGTGCAAAATATTTAAAATTAAAGATGAAGACACTTTCCTATGTCTTCAAGTTTCAGCTGAGGCTTTGTCCATCCCCCGAATTAAAAACTACAAGTTGCTGTCTTAGTAATTTAGGTTAAAATCGTGTACCTAAGATATATTGGTATTTGAGGCAGAAGCATGTGTGGTGGAGGGTGGTAGGGAGAGTGAAGATTTACCAGTAGCCAAGTTAAATATCTAGATCATGATTACAATTCTCCATTTACTTCCACCATGTAGGCTTTTGAATGTGAAACCCAGGCCAGCTCTGCAGACTAACAAACAATCTGTCATTCCAACTTAATGTCCTCCCTATCATTAGATTTCTTTGCTCTCTGCCCTGATGATGAATGACAAAAGGACTTGCTGTCAGAGATTTGGGGTTAAGTGAGGCAGTTCTGAAATCTAGAGATTTAGGATGCTGGGAGGACTGAAAATTTTTGATGATCTCATGTGAATCATGTTGCATTCTATCTCTGGCTCTCCCTCTCTAAAATGGATGAAATAAAATAAATTTATGGAAACCATTACTTCAAACAATTAATTTGGTAGGAAATAGAAATGCTTCCAGTTTAAGAAAGACAGCAATCCTGCTGCTACAAGAAGCAGCCATATTCCTAACCTTTAACCTGTTGTTGGACAAAGTAGTTGGGCCCAATCCTGCATGTATATTTGAGTTCCTATTGACATCCTGAGACTAAATTGTTGGACCTCTCTGGTGAGCTGTCCGTTTTGAACTTCAGTGAGCTCCAAAATATCACCCATCTGGGAGATAGGAAGAGGATTTTGTTACCTGGAAGAAACCTATAATGATCTACCTGGTCCTTTTAAAAACAGAGTGGGAGAGGGAGATCAGTAATTCCTAAGAAAGAAAAAGAATGGGGTAATAGTTCCACCCAGGATCTTTTTCTAACCCTCCCCCCTTCAAATGGACTTATTGAGACAGAATTTGGAGGGGGAATCCACATTCCTTCCCACAGCATGCCAATGAGGCTAGAGAGCTATTTGTAGATAGTTCTGGTTTGTTTATATGCAGAGAAATAACCTATTAAATATAAATTATTTTATAATGTTTTATGGCTTAATACATACTCTATCTCTGTTTTTATTCTCTTAACTCCATGGGATATTGATACAATAAATGATGAAGAAAATCTAGTCTCAGGGAGGTTAAAAATCTTTGCTAAAGCTACGTATCTAGTGGGTTGCAGAGATAATACCAGTACCCAGGTTTTTTTACTACAACTCGTATTTCTGTTGGCTACACTCCTCCCATCCCCCTGCCCCCAACCGAAGTACAAACAAGTTTTTCATGTTCAGCCTTTCATTGTATGTACAGTACAAGTTACATCCCCAAGCAGGTTTCTATTTGAAAGACTGTGAGTCCCTCTGGCTTCTGTTTAGAGTTACTCTAGAACCCAATTTGTTTGACTTAGTGACTGTATCTTTCCCTAAATGTAGCTTGTTAAGGAAATGAAGGGTAGCCATGGGAATGAAATCACAATTTCCCTATGTAGGTAGCATCCTGTAGTGAAAAGAGGAGGGGTTTTGTGGTCAAAGCACTGTCCCCACCACTCAGCAACTTTGTGAATTTGGACCATTTCCTTTTCCAAGTTTATTTCCTGATCTCTAGCATGGCAATCCCACTGACTTTACAAGGCTGTGGGGCGGTGAGGATTCAATTTGAGCACATGAGAGCATGTCTACCCCATAAAGGAGTATTTAAATGCTACCTTCCATTTGATGTTTCTCCTCCAGGTTCTTAAGTTTTGGAACCTAAGTTTCTCAGTCCCAAATGGCACACTCTACATTGCACAAACTGACCAAAACAGATCAGATAAACATATTTTATCATTTCTCCAACCTAACAAGCAAATGTTTGGCAACAAGCAAATTCCTTTTTAATAACAACTATACATTGAGTGGCGTAATCACTAAACAGCATTAAAGTTGCAGTTGAAATAAATTCTCCATGTATTTTGTTTGCTTCTTGTGTAGGCACGCTGTTTTACATGAACTCTCTAATTTTTAGTGGCTTATTCTGTTAATGTTTCATTTATCATTTCACAGAAATTCACTGAAACAGAACTCTTTGTAGAGTTGTTCTTTTTTAAATTTTTTATTAAATTTATTGGGGTGACAGTGGTTGGTAAAATTATATAGGTTTCAAGTGATGTTCTATAATATGTCTATATGTTGCACTGTGTTCACCACCCAGATCTCCTTTCATAGAGTTTTCATAATCCCACCTTCAAACTTCATTGCAAACATCTAGTAAGACAAACAAAAAATGATCCTAAATTAATAGGATATCTGTGCACAACTGTTTGCCTTAGCTGCACTCAGAATGTTCAAACATATTCCATTTCTTAAAAAAAAAAACGTATAACTCAAAGGTCCAGGCAGAGGTCTACATTGCAACAAAATTAGAGGAGTCAGGTCTCAAATTAACTTCTAACTGCACATCGCTTGTGGGCGTTTCTTACCCATTTCCATTGCCTAACCAATAATTATGATAGGTTTTAGTTTTACTCTTTATGCATAAAACAGGATTTTTTTCTCATTCTGGGTATGCAGCAATTAATAATGTATAGACTTAAGCTTTTTAGATTCCATCCTTTAAAACTTCATCCTACATCAAAGGTGGTGGGTGACTTGGTCTCATGATCTCCATCACCAGGCTTGTGGTATAGATATTATTAATGGCAAAAGAGTCTAATATAATTGTCCATACATTATCCGTCATTTAAATAAAAAAATGTATTTTATTGAAAACAATTCTAACTCTAGCTCACTATAAAAGTAATACATAAGCAAGTTTTTTTTTAAAGAAATAATCTAGGTGTGAAATTTATATACTTTTAATTATGAATTATCATCATGAGTTAAGCTAACACTTGTCTTCTGTTCTGTGATTTTCATTAGCTGATTCCTTTTTGCCTGACCTTAAGCCCTTCTCTTGAAGTGAGATGCTTAGAGAGACTTCAGGCTAGGGTGGTTTCCTAGTGCCTGTCTCTTTTCTCACAGTTGAGCCTAAAGTGAACTTTTCATGTTCTTCATTGACATGTGGCTTCGCAGTCAATCAGGGAACAAAATATAATTTCCCCTGGGACCTAGAATCCCTCCACCATAAAGAGTAAGGAAGAGAGGAAATACTGTGTGTGAGAGCCATTTGTTCTGTGATCCTCTGTTTCCAGTAACCAGGTTCCATCTTCCATCATACAAGAATCTCCTACAAAGATTCCATCCTCTCTTCAGAATACCTTTTTTTTTTTTTGGCAAAATAAAGACCTCTCTTAGTAACTCCATAGTTTATTGCCCTTCTTTGATCCCTCTGACTTCAAAAAATCTGAAGTCATAAGACCATATAATTTCACACTTTGAATAGAAATTTAGTCCGAAATCATGGGGTTTAGGATTTAAAGTAATTTTATTAAACCAAAAGGCTTCTTTGACTTGTTGTAGGCACTTTAGAAAACTTTAAGGCAGAGTCACATAGCATTGCATCTTTATCATTATTTGCTTGACCAAAAATTTATCTTTCACAACACAAAAAGATGCTAAGTCCACCACACATTTTGAGTTCTGCTCATTTTCTCTGAGAAGTTAGAATCTAGCCAGAAGTATCAGGAAGGACCTGGATTCTTCCTATTAAGCTGTTAACACAGAGCTATTGAGATTTTTGAGCTCCATTCATATAAAAAATCATGTCAATTATCAAGTAAAAGATTAGATAAGGGAAAATATCACCTCACCTGGTTAAAAGAACCTACCACATGTCACCACTGATCATGTCAGAACCTGAGCAATATTACAGA